ATAAGCTGTACTTTGAGAACATCACGCTGGAGACGGTGCTGGACATCTACCAGCTGGAGAGTGCGAGCGGCGTCTTGGGTGCCATGGGAGGCCAGACGCCCAACAACATTGCCCTTCCTCTGCACCGCGCCGGTGTCAAGGTGCTGGGCACTTCCCCCGAGATGATTGACACTGCCGAGAACCGATACAAGTTCTCTCGTATGCTGGACCGAATCGGCGTCGACCAGCCTACCTGGAAGGAGCTTACCAGCTTTGAGGAGGCGAGGTCTTTCTGCCAAAAGGTGTCGTACCCTGTGCTGGTCCGCCCGTCGTACGTTCTCTCCGGTGCTGCCATGAACACCGTTTACTCCGAGAAGGACCTGGAGAGCTACCTGGCCCAGGCTGCCGAGGTCTCGCGCGAGCACCCCGTTGTCATCACCAAGTACATTGAGAACGCCAAGGAAATCGAGATGGACGCTGTCGCCAAGGATGGTGTTGTCGTTGGCCACTTCATTTCCGAGCACGTTGAGAACGCTGGTGTCCACTCCGGTGATGCCACGCTCATCCTGCCTCCTCAGGATCTCGAGCGCACCACCATTGAGCGCATCGAGGAGGCCACTCGCAAGATTGGTGCCGCCCTGAACGTGACTGGTCCCTTCAACATCCAGTTCATTGCCAAGGACAACGACATCAAGGTCATTGAGTGCAACGTGCGAGCTTCCCGCTCGTTCCCCTTTGTCTCCAAGACCATGGGCGTTGACCTGATCGAGATGGCCACCAAGGCCATCATGGGCCAGCCCTTCCAGGAGTACCCGCCCACGGATATCCCTCCGGACTGCGTTGGTGTCAAGGTGCCCCAGTTCAGTTTCTCCCGTCTCTCCGGCGCCGACCCCGTTCTCGGTGTCGAAATGGCGTCGACTGGTGAAGTCGCTTGCTTCGGTGCCGACAAGAGCGAGGCCTACCTCAAGGCTCTCCTGTCCACCGGCTTCAAGATTCCCAAGAAGAACATCCTGTTGTCCATTGGTTCGTACAAGGACAAGAAGGAGATGCTTCCGTCGGTGCAGAAGCTGCAGAAGATTGGCTACAAGCTGTTTGCCACGGCTGGTACCGCCGACTTCTTGCAGGAGCACGGCGTCCCTGTCCAGTACCTCGAGGTCCTGGGCAAGGAGGAGGACAAGGAGTCCGAGTTCTCCCTCACGCAGCATCTGTCCAAGAACACCATTGACCTGTACATCAACCTGCCCTCCAACAACAAGTACCGCCGCCCGGCCAACTACATGAGCAAGGGCTACCAGACTCGTCGTATGGCCGTCGACTACCAGATCCCTCTGGTGACCAACGTCAAGAACGCCAAGATCCTCATCGAGGCCATTGCCAAGAGCTTCGACCTCAACGTTAGCCAGCGCGATTACCAGACCAGCCACAAGACGGTTGTCCTGCCCGGCTTAGTCAACGTGGCCACCTTTGTTCCCGGCCTGGTTACCCCCGAGAGCAACGACATGGAAACGGTGACCAAGGCCTCCCTCTCTGCCGGCTTCACCATGATCCGCGTCATGCCCCTTGGTCTCGAGGGTGCCATCACCGACGGCATCACTCTGCGAGCTGCCCAGAAGAACAGCAAGCGCGGCGACTTCTGCGACTACAACCTGTCTGTGTCGGCCACCTCCGACAACGACAGCCAGATCAGCGCCCTCGCCGGCGAAGTGGGCTCGCTCTTCATCCCCTTCAACCACCTGTCTGGAAACATCAGCAAGGTGGCTGCCGTCACTGCCCACTTCGATGCCTGGCCGACGCACAAGGTCATTGTCACCGACGCCAAGCTGACTGACCTGGCCTCGATCCTGCTGCTGGCCTCTCTGCACAACCGCCGCATCCACGTCACTTCGGTTACCAACAAGGACGACATCCGGCTGATTGCGCTGAGCAAGGCCAAGGGTCTGCGTGTGTCCTGCGACGTCTCCATCTACTCCCTGTATCTGTCTACCAAGGACTACCCCGAGCTGGACCGACTGCTGCCCACGCCCGAGGACCAGGCTGCTCTCTGGGAGAACATGGCCCACATTGACGTCTTCTCCGTCGGAAGCCTGCCCTACCAGCTCGCCCAGTCTCTGGGCCACAAGGCGGACACGTCCAGCGGCATTGCGGATGCCCTTCCTCTCCTGCTCACCTCGGTTAGCGAGGGCAAGCTGACGGTCGACGACCTCAAGGAGAAGCTGTACCAGAAGCCCATGGAGATCTTTGAGCTCCACGACCAGGTCGGCACCAGCATCGAGGTCGAGATTGACCGCGCCTACCAGGCTCAGCCTAGCAGCGTGTGGTCGCCGTTTGAAGGCCGCATCATGCGCGGATCCGTCCGCAGGGTCACCTTCCAGGACACCACCGTGTGCTTGGATGGCGAGCTCCTGCCGGTGCCTCCCAAGGGCAAGGACATGTCCTCGCACAGCATCTCGCGCGAGATCCCCGTGTCGCCCGCTCTGAAGCCCAGCATGGGACTGATTTCGCAGGTGACCGAGAGCCCCAAGCCCCGACAGCCGGCGGCTTTCCAGAGCCCCAAGATCGCGGCTCGGTTCCGCAACGTTGACGGCCTGGCCTCCCCCGCCAAGATTGGCGGCGCGGTGGACGAGCTGGGTCTGTCTCTGCTGCCGCAGCCGACGACCAGCTCCGCTCTCCAGCAGCTGCTGTCGCAGCCCAACTCGTTCAAGAACTCGCACGTGCTGTCCGTGAAGCAGTACACGCGAGCCGACCTGCACCTGCTGTTTACCGTTGCTCAGGAGATGCGCCTGGGTGTTCAGCGCGAGGGCGTCCTGAACGTGCTCCGAGGCCGCGTCCTCTGCACGCTCTTCTACGAGCCGTCGACTCGCACTTCGGCCTCGTTCGATGCCGCCATGCAGAGACTCGGTGGACGCACCATTGCCATCTCGACCTCGCACTCATCCGTGCAAAAGGGCGAGACGCTGCAGGACACCCTGCGGACACTGGCCTGCTACGGAGACGCCGTCGTCCTGCGCCATCCCCAGGAGAACTCGGTGGACATTGCGAATAAGTACAGCCCTGTCCCGGTAGTGAACGGCGGAAACGGCAGCAAGGAGCACCCGACACAGGCGTTCCTCGACCTCTTCACCATCCGTGAGGAGCTGGGCACCGTGCAGGGCCTGACGATTACCTTCTTGGGTGACTTGCTGTACGGCCGACCGGTCCACTCGCTGGTGTACCTGCTCCAGCACTACCAGGTCAAGGTCCAGCTGGTGTCGCCCAAGGGGCTGTCTCTGCCCGCCAAGGTGAGGGAGCAGCTGGTGGCCTCTGGCCAACTGCTGGCCGAGTCCGAGACTCTGACTCCTGAGATCCTGGCCCGCAGCGACGTCCTTTACTGCACTCGCGTGCAGAAGGAGCGTTTCGAGAGTGTGGAGGCGTATGAAAAGGTCAAGGACTCGTACCGCGTGGACAACGCGACGCTCAAGAACGCCAAGAGCTCCATGGTGGTGCTGCACCCTCTGCCGAGGAACGAGGAGGTTGCCGAGGAGGTGGACTTTGACCAGAGGGCGGCGTATTTCAGACAGGTAAGCAGGATCCCCCAGCAGACGGAAGATGACTTTGCTAACGTTTTGGATGCAGATGCGGTATGGTCTTTACTGCAGGATGGCGCTTCTGGCACTTGTTATGGCTAGCTCGTAGAGAGGCTATATTGTCATGCGCATTTCCAATGGCTGTACTTTGTACAGATTAGACATTTTTTTGGATTTCTTTGGTTTAGGGAGAACATTGTTCAAGGCATACAAAAGGGGGGTATGATGTAGAAGGCTTTTTCCTTTTCTTTTTTTCTGGACGTTGAGTTCTAGAGCGCGTCCTAGGTATAAAACCCGTATTTCAGCATAGGCAGCATTTGCCTTACTTGGGGGTTGGCGTTTATGGTGTCTTTTTCTGGAGGGCGTTGCGTCTGGCGTTGAAGCCGTCCAGCGTGCCTTTTATGATACCCCGTATGATTATGATACCCAATATAGTTTCTGTATGTGTGTGTGTGTTGCGTATGCGTATACGTTATGCGTATATGCGTACGTGTGTGCGTTGCGTGTATGTGTATGTGTATGTGTATGTGTGTCGTGTGTGTTGTCTATTTCGTGTCTGTTTTGGCGTCACACTGAGCAGAGGCACTCAAGTGTCCAGTGCGTCGAGCAAGCTTCTCGTACGGGCACGAAGTACCTATGCTGAAATATGGGCTATACTGTACTCTGTTATCATTATTCCCTTATTGAACAAGAGAGGAAACCAGAGTATTCTCTATTCCTGAATCTACTGTCTCATCTTGTCCTTCAGTGTGAGAAAGCATACGAGTTAAAAGAATAGGTGCAATTCTGATTCGCAGATGTCCCTCCCCCCCCCACGGCTAAAAGCGGGCTGCCCTCATCCGATCCTTCTCTCTCCCAAAGTGTCTTGTTCGAAGGTGTGAGCGTCATTGCAAAATCCGGAACCCCACTTTAAACCTCCAATCTTTTCCTTTTACTCATCGAAATCGGACGACTTTCTCATTTCATTACAATTCCCTCTTCCCTTGAAGCCTTGTGATACAGAGAGACTCACGATCTGGACGTTTACACCATCTCAGTTCACACAACGAAGAAGAAGATTCTCATTTGCTCAAGTTACCTGGTTTTTTCTGGTTCAAAAGGCAAACACGAGAGAGAGGGGGGACTTCTGGTTTGCGTGGAAAAGAGAAATTGTGGTTCCTTTCCATCGAAAAGTGTTGGTTTTGATGCGATTGCGGAGCAGCAGCAGCAGCGTGCGACATTTCGGCTCCTGGACGACGACGACGACAAAGGCTAGGATGGCGCTGTATCGACGGCCTTCGACGGTGACTGCCGAGGAGGAGAAGCTCATCTGTAGGTCCCATGTCCTACCTCTCTCCCCACATTCTCCAGTATTCACATTTCAACACAACATCTCATGACTCACTTCACTTCACCTCAACACTCAAACTCACCCTCAACACCACAAATCCCCCCATCACCACACCTCTCAAATCAAAAATGACGCAGCTAACAACTCCTCCTCCTCCCCCCGAACAAAAAGTCGCCCCAGCAGGCCACCAACCCCACGGCCAAGCCCCCCAGTTCACCCTCTCCCGCCTGCGCCGCCGCGACCTCAACCCGCACTCCCCGATCCCCCAGTTCCACGCCTGGTTCTCCCTCGCGCAGCGCACGCCCTCCATCTCCCAGCCCGAGGCCTGCACCCTGTCCACGGCGGAGCTGCCCTCGGGCCGCGTCTCCTCCCGCGTCGTCTACCTCAAGGAGCTCGATTCGCATGGCTTCGTCATGTACACCAACCTCGGCACCTCGCGCAAGGCCCGCGACCTCGCCACCAACCCGCACGCCTCCCTCGTCTTCTACTGGCCGCCCCTCCAGCGCCAGGTCCGCGTCGAGGGCGTCACCGAGACGAATTCCCGCGAGGAGAGCCAGACCTACTTCGACACCCGCGTCAGGGGCAGCCGCATCGGCGCCTGGGCCAGTCGCCAGTCCACCGTCCTCACGCCAAAGCCCAGGAACAAGTCTTCTTCTTCTCCTTCTTCCTCATCAGCAGCAGCAGCTCCTGGAGCTGAAGGTGCGCAACAACTAGCAAACGGCGTCGACAAGCCGTCTTCCAACAACAACAACCCCGAGCAAGCCATAGAGGAGGCTGAAGAAGAAGAGGAAGACGACGGAAGGGCCCAGCTGGAAGAATGGGTCCACGAGGTCGAGGAGCGCTTCAAGGGCCAGGACAAGATCCCCGTGCCCGACTTCTGGGGCGGCCTCCGCCTCGTGCCGCAGCGCGTCGAGTTCTGGCAGGGCAGGGAGAGCAGGCTGCACGACCGCTTCGTGTACGAGTGGGAGGAGGGCGAGGACGGCAAGGAGGGCAAGTGGAGGCTCGAGAGGTTGAGTCCTTGATTTTCACTGCAGTGTTGGAACCAAGTTCTGGGGCTTTACATGGTAACTATATACATGTATAATTAGACGAATGCAACAATGTTTGATATAGACTGCACTAATAATGGGGAAGAGGCAGAGTCAGTCGACGAAGAGCAACTCGAGAAACAAGACTCAATGGAGGATAAAAAACAAAGCCATTTCACGAGAATATCATCAGACATACGGAAACATTATAGGGCCAAGTACCAATGGGTAACCATTTCTGGAAGCCATCATATTGGGTCGTCATACTTGGGCATCATATGCCGTCTTAGCAGCAAGTGATTACTACTACTACTAGGTACTCAATATAAACCAAAAAGGTACATAAAGTGGTATAAAGAGATGGCCATCCCATCCAAAAAAGACAATGATATTCATGTCGCAATTCAGGAATCCTCGCTTGCCAGTAGCAAGACAAGTCCATCACCATGAAATGAGGATGCTGGTGTCCCAAAATAAAAAGCAAGATGCCCTCAACCCAGAGATTGCTCCACGCTTGCGATTCTCCCAAAACGCCTTGGTAAATATGCTCATGTGCTGAAACATGCTAGGCACAACTTTCCAGAAAGATGAAGAAAAGAAATGACCGGATATTAAAAAGGGACAAGAAGACAAGACCAAACATGCCATCGCTATGTCAATGAATCGTCCAATACGAAGACCCTCCAGCTTCTGCTTGAGGGGTTTACTCGTCGTCGTACTCCTTTATCGTCGAGACGGAAATGCCACGCCAACCGTCGTCTTGGACCGGCTATGGCTCGGCACGAATTCGCAGTCGCTGCCAGCCGCACTATCCGGCGGCGTGGGCTGGCGGGCCATGTTCCACCGTGGCCCCGACTCCAGCTCGGCGGCCAGCTGCATGTCCACCATGGCGTCGGTAAGGCAGTCGTCTTCGCACAGCGGCAGGATGCGGTAGTCGAGGCTCTCCATAATGCACCGCTCCGTGACGTTGAGCTGCTCGTTGGACCACAGGCCGCGACCCCAGGCCAGGCGGTAGAACTGGGGTGGCTGCTGCGGGTCTGGGTGAACTTGGCTGCGATGACAAGGGCCGCCAGGATGATGATTTCGGGACGGACAGAGTCGATGTGAAGCTGCCGCTGGGGAACGTCGCGCGGCCTCGGCGGAAGAGAGTGGCGCTTGCTGAGGGATGGCGATGCCGCAGCCGGGGAGTCAATGTCGTCCGTGCTCAAGGGGCATGACAGCGGGCACGACAGCCGCCACGTGCGCGCAAACTTGGTGTCGAGGCTGTCGAGGATGCAGACCGCCAGGGCCAGCATCTCCATGGACAGGTCGGCCCGCGACAGCATGGCCTGGACAAAGGGGACGGATGCGCTCGCCAGCGATGCCGAAGCGGGAATCAGATTGACGAGGTGGATGGCGGGACCTGCAGAAATCCAAAGACAGTTAGCAAGCTTAGTTCCCACCGAGGCAATGTAGGATGCAAGCCTAGGTAGGATGCAGAGTCGCATTGTGCCGAATTCCGCATCCATGCAGGAACCGAGACGCACGAGTCAACACGACACGCGACGAGCAGCGTTTGGAATTGGAGAGAGGGAACGAAGGGTACAAATCATCCAGACTGACCTCTGTATCGCGGATTCAGCGTGTCATCGTCCTCGAGCGATTGGTCCACCACCAGCGGCTTGCTCAGCGTGGGAGGCGGTGTGGGTAGCCGGGACAGCGGCCGGTATGTGAAGCGCTCGTACTCATAATCATCGTCGTCGTCGGCGGCAAAGCGAACGTCACGGTTACCTCGTCGCTGCATCGTGGCTGTATGGAGGTGCTGGGCTTCGGATTCTATGCGGTGGTTCAGGTCTGGTAGGGCCGCTTCCCATGGTTTGCTGGCCAGCCGAAAAGTGCTTCTCTTTGTCGAGAGAATCGGGCAGATGTGGTTTTTTCCTTGCTCTTTCTAGTTTCCTTTCCCGTTATGTTTCTCTTGATCTCTTGCTTGTTCGTCGCTTCTTCTTTCGTCCCTTGTTTGGCGCTCGTAGGTAGTGATTGTGTGCCGTTGTCGTGGTGGGGAGGAGGCCTGAATAAGTACGGGGAGATGGATGGTCGGGAGCGGTAGCTGATCACGCGAGCGAGGGGCCAAGATTCACCAGCGTCCAAACGAATGAATGCCAAACAGCTGAGCGAGCGGAGAGAAGCAGTGAATCGAGAAGCAGGATGGAAGATCGGTGAGCTAGATATAAGAAGCAGCGACAAGGGGGTCCTCGTATGTATGCGTACTGTATGTATGTGCAAGCACTCGCCTGCTAGCGGTAGCAGAGCCCAGGAGAGTCCCGATTCGTCCTGCTCGGGATAAGGCTGAGTCGCTGCTGACTCCAGCGGAGGCGATGCCAAGGCCAGGGAGCCCAGCGATGGTGCGGTGGCGCTCCCGCTAGAGCCGCTAGAGCGCCAGCGGAGCGACCGCCTAAAGCATCCACGCTAGGGGACCTTTCCAGGGGGTTGGGGGGGTCGAGCACTCCAGAGTCGAGCACAGACCGAACTGCTCCCAGACTCAAGGGATGGATGCTCCCACCTGCGCCAGACCGGGGAGGCTCATACAAGTACGAGCTTGTACTTTCATCATGAACTCGCAGTGGCAGACCGCTGTGATGGCATCGATTCCTTGATGGAGATATTCTGTGGTCGAATTAGCATTCACCGGCCGCGCCTCATCTCCTCATCTCCTCATCCCTTCTGCTGCCGCAAGGCGTTTCGTTCCTCAGCCCAAGACCCTTCTTTTCGCAGCTGCATGTGAGATGTGAGCATGTGGTGGGATTCTGTTCAATGAGAAGCCGGAACCCCAAAGCTTATTTGCTCACCAATCTCGTCTTCCAACAGGTCATCCCCCTTCTATTCTTAGTCTCGCGTGCTCGGAGCATGGTCTTCGTGGTTCAACGTGTCACACCAAAACGTCACGGACAGAAACGGAGGCGTAGAGAAAAAGGCAAACCTCAAGCACGCTCCAAAGTCGTCATGTCGGGGCCAAGCTGTGTTCGGGAGCAGCTGCATGTCTCGACGCCGAAATCCCTGACGAAGATGTTCACAAAACGGCCTCGTGCCACTCCGTGCAAGGCACTCGACAAATAATAAACGCGGCGTTACACCAGAAGTCTGTATTGTCGACGCCATCGGATCGACTCTGGGTCGGCTTCCGTTCGTCAGTTCGTCATGCAAATGCTCCAGCACGGAGTACGCCGCATCATGTCCAGGTACGGAAAGAAAGGACTGCAACCGAAGCATCTGCAGACTGCAGGTACACAATCGGTGAACCACCGCGGCATGGCATCCCCTTGCCTGCCATCACTTATGATATTTCCCCCGTCTTCTGTAGCGTCGCAGCGGCCGTAGGCGGTGAATGCAATCTTTTGTCGTGCTTCCATGGGTCCATTTTCGCTCACAGCCAAACCCCGTACTTGCAGCTTCTCCGTACTCCGTAGAAGAATACTACTAGAATACTAGTAGTACATCTTCCTTCGAGATCGCAAGGCCAGAAGTTCGTTCGCCTTCCAACGTGCAGGTTGGCATCTCCTGCTGCCGCTGTCCACTGGAGCCCCCCCGATTCGGCCCGGTGTATCTGGCGGGCCCCCTTTCTGGCGCGGAGAGCTCAAACGTCATGATCCCTGGCGGGCCAACAGTGAATACGAGCCCCCTCTGGTTCTGCTGCTTCGGCTCGTACGAGAAGCACCGTTATGCCGTCGTGGTTTGGAAACAGTGCGTTCCAATGCGGAAGCGGGATTTTACCACTCTGACGGCTCGTGGCCCATAAGCTCAACGGCTGAACCACCACGGTTTGCACGCGACTTTCTTCCCACGGTGGAGACGCGGCGAACAAACATCATTGACCCCTTTTTTTGTCAATTATCGTCGCATACCGGAGATATGACGATGCCGAGGTGCCGTCGAGTCGACTTGGAGCATTTCTGCGGTGTTACTTGGCACGTCGTGCTTGCATCCAGCCAGCTTGGCCGCGTCGAATTCACATTTTTGGCATCGATTCCTCCTTAGCTCACTCCGTCTTGGTCCAGCTAAATGTGAAAGCGAGATTGCCTCGCTAGCCACTCTACCAGATCGATGGCCAGATTGCTCTCCTCTCTTGGCAGTTTCAGCGCCCCTCGTAGCAAGATGACGAGAGCTGCGATATTTTCATATGTTGGCAGTGTTAGGTGGAACAATTCAAGTCCAGTACTCTTCACTGGGCAAAGGTCGAAACTCGGTCCACTAGCATCGTGCGACCTACACGGAGCATCTGATGACGGTCTCACAAGGAAACCTTATTACTAACCCTTCTGCAGGAACGTGCGTAAGAGAAACGTCTGCGTCGGACAAAGGTGTACGACGCCTTTCGGTCTTGCAATGGAAGTGGCCAATGTAAACTCGAAAGAGGATACGGAGTCTTGAGGGGGGGCATCTTCATGACTGGCATTAGTCTTCAACGCACGAGCAGTGATGAATGCAAGCAATAACGGTGCTGGCAGCAACGCACCGGAATCGTTGATCAGGAACCACGCAAGCTGATCCAGAAAACGGTGGAGTCCAGCTACTGTAGCTCAAGATTGTCGCGATTTGAACCACGTTTGCCGATGCTGCCGCGGATCATTTGGGCCCTCTGGGGGCATCTAGATTGGCCGCAGATTTCGGAGAGAAGGGAGGGCATAAAAAAAGAAATTGGCTGCAGCAGCACGAGGTGGAGTTGGTTGGTGGTTTCGGCACGTCGAGTGAGGCTGAGCTGGACGGGCGGGGCCGGTGAAGCGAAACTGAATTTCTGGTTCCTGAGAAGCCGTTTTTGCGTGCTTTTTAACGTACGTATGTGGCAATGCTCGGCACCTGCAGTTGCTGGGATGGAGACGCCAAGATCTCCTGTTCTGCGGATTGATATTCAGGGGATGCGGAATGATGATGTCCGAGGTAACGAAGGGGATGAGAGAGGAACGATGAGGTTGAGAGATGCTAATTTTGGGTCTGAATTCTGAGCATCAGATTGAGGAGCAGCCGTTGGAAGGTGCCCTCTCAGGTCCTGCCGTTGCATCGCTCAACCAATGCTGCTGCTTCTGGGAAGGAGCATTGCACTGAACTGAGAAACCCCTACAAGTACTAGTCTAGTTACTAGTACCTATGGTGCCATTCAAATTATGTCATCAAACATCAAGGAGCTCTGCCAATCTCGACGGATTCTCATGATACACTTCAATTCTCTTCTTTCCATGGCCGCTGAAATGCCCTCACCACAGACCAACAACTGCTGCGTCCAGACATCAGACAGGAAGGCTTGTAGCTTGTACTGGCACATGAATGCGCAGCCCGATAATCCTTCAATCACTCGCTGCCTGAGCTTCAGCCCGCCGTCGACCTCGGGCCATGCCGCTGAACGGCACAACATCGCCGTTGGATCTTGACTTGTCGGGCCTCGGTGGAGCACTCCTTTCGTTTCGTTCCGTTTCAATGTTCTCATGAAGCAAACGAGAACGACCGCTAGCTGACAGGTCACCTCACTCTCCGCGTGACAATGGCGAGAGACCACATATGAACCAGATACCTGACAGCTCCAAGTCCACCATCACAACTATCTCAGCGAATAACGCCGACATCGAGACATACACCCCACTCCCATAAGCCTCAAAACACACAGCGACGTGGGCTTGCCAGTTATCCGCCTCCAATTCCATCAAAGCCCTTCTTTTCCTAGTGTAGGCATATTCCGCCCTCAGCTCGTTGCACTAAAAAAGCTCCAGCATCGCCAGCCGGGGGCTTGTCAGATGCCGCTGGCAAACAGCCCGCCTCAAAAATAGCACAGCACGCACGCCCGTTCTGTCTGTCAGCCGCAAGAAGCGCCATCCGCGTGGCGTGCCTGTACCCTTGTTTCACGCACCCGATCGAATGGCGACCCTGATTCTGAGGCTTGGTCCATGCGGTTGACTCCATTTTGGGGACTCCATGGATGGATACGGCGCTGATGGGGTCTGGTGTGATTTGTTTGCTCTCTTTCAGTCTTACTACATCCAAAGCTTACATGGAGGTGTCTGGGTGAATTACCGAGAGGGGAGATATTATTCGAGCACGCTCATCTGAACATGAGCTTACATCTTAACAGATTCAAAGACGTCGAGTGCCGATCTCACTTACACCCGTGTCTAAAAGAGGCAATCGCATCACCTTGAGGCGGACTCGTACGCCGTCCCCTGTCTAGCCCGTAGAGATACTGACACCTTGCAATCATGTTTATCAAGAGAGAAGGACATTACAGATTTACGTGAAGGAACCAATGTCTGCTCTCTTTCACTCTGACTAGACACTTATTCAAAGCTTACAAGGCGGTACTCGGGTGACTTACTCAGAGGAGAGTGAATTTTCGAAACATCTGAGCATGAGCTATGTGAATCCAAACAGAAATAGAGTCGTCGAACGTAGCCCCGTGGCTTTCACCCTGTGTCTAGAGGAAGCAATCTCACACCATCCTGTACGAGAGTTGAACGCCGTGCCCTGTCAGTTTCATTGCAATTACTGGTAGATATGTTGTTGAATCAAGAAGGTGTAGCACGTACCGTACGACGTATAGAGGAGCTATGAATACCTTACTCGTCCTTTGCATAGCAGCTGAGGCTCGGCGAGCAGGGACCACCATACTCTAACAAACATGGCAACAGGCAAAGACAACTCCCATCATCAAGATAACCGTCCGCATAATGCCTGCTTTGATGGCATCTGATAGCGAAAGATTCATGTCCCATTTCTCATAGAGCAACTATCCCAACAGAGAAAAAACCCTACATCATGACCAGAGCCTACTTGTATAATCCAGAAAACGCCAACTGAAGCCCAGACACAAACACCCCCTTTCATCCCAGTATCTCCTCACCCCAAATCACTCCAACCACCTCCTCCACCCCGGCCAAACCCTATCCAGGCACCGCGTCCCCCAGAACCACGAGACGACGGTGAGCACCGTCAACGGCACCGCAACCGCCCAGTAGATCCAAAACTGCCCGCTCAGCCGCCACACGCCCGTCGGGGCATCAAAGTTGAAGAAGGACGTGCTGAAGATGGCCGCCACAAAGGCCGCCGGCAAGAACACCAGCCCGACGAGCGAGATGGCGCGCATCGCCGACGAGTCCACCCGCGCGGCGTCGTTGTACGTCAGCGCCATCTCCGTCGTGATGCGCGCGCTGTTGCTCTCGGCGCGGTGCCGCAGGTTCGTCAGCATGCTGTGGAAGGCGTCCAGCCGGCGCTGGATGTTGAGGTGCACCAGGTTTGGCGACGACGACGACGACGAGGCTGCTGCCGCTGCTTGTCTTCCGGTGTCGTTGGAGGTGTTGCTGCTGTCGACAAGAATGGACTTTGTGTTGAGAAAGTGAGCGTGGCTCTTCTCGATGCTGGCGAGCACCGACTCGGTCACGTACACCGTCTCGTTGACATGCGTCAGATGCCGCGGAATCTCCCGCAGATACCCGTACTGGTACTTGTAAAACGACCTCCTCTTCTCAAAGTCCCGAATCAGGTTGCGCGACTCCCAGATGGTCACGTCGTGCAGCTGCACCATCTCGTCCACCATGCTGGGGAACACCCAGAACGGGTCGCCCAGCTCGCGCGGGTTCACGTCCCGCAGCAGCGACGCGCCCACGAGCCGCGCAAACTGCGGGTGGTCGAAGAGGACAATCTCCGTCCGCGGGCGCTGCTGATGATTTTGCCGGCTGCTGCTGTTGCGGGGGGGAGATCCCGGGGACGAAAACGACGACGACGACGACGAGGAGGAGTGCCAGCGCGTAAAGGCGTTGAGCTTGACCCAGTGGTATTGCAGCTCGTCGTGGCCGTGCTTGTCGAGGACTTTGCTGATGCGCTTGACCATGAAGCGCGTCCACGAGGCTGTATCACAAAGCGTCTTTTATATCAGAAACCTAAAGGGGGCGCTATATATATAAGACAAAGGGGGGGGGCTTTGCGTGGTAAAAACTCACTCGTCCCCGTCCTCAGCCCATTCTCATCGAGGACGTCCTGATACCCAAAATAGCCGTTCGACCTCCTCGCCAGCGTCGTCCACCAGCTCCGCGGCACCAGGAACTTGGTGCTAAAGGCAGCTCTGCAGCGACGACATTGGCGGACCTTGTCTCCTTCGGCATATCTATCTCTCTCGTCAGTCAGCCACATGTTCCAACCAAACCCCCCAAGGAAGAAGAAAGAGAAGAGAGAACGGGGGAAAGAGGAAAAAAGGGAGGAAACTCACATTATGACAACATCAGCCTCCGCAAAAGTCGCCTTCTCCCCCTTGGAAATCTCCTCCACGGAGAGATACTCCGTTTTGGTCTGTTGCTGCCTGCCCGATCCTACACATCAACACACATCAATCAGCCTTTCTCCTCGTTCCAACAATAACAACCCAACATATTCCACCTGTCTCTCATCCTTCAAAATCGAAAATCTCATCGATACAGTTTGCATTAACCCTCAACAGCAGGAATCTTCCAAACGCAACAACAAAACACACAAGAAAAGAAGCAGACGGGCGTACAAAAAACTGACTAGTGAATGGGAAGAAAAAAAAAAAAGGCATACCTGAGTCCCGCCAACACACCGTCTCCAGCTTCGGACAATAGCACGAAGCTGGAGCTCCTCCTCCGTTCATCTCCTTCTTGACAGCCATTGCAACCTCAAATCATTCAAGAAGCGTCAAATCACCAATTCTACAAGGTATCCAACAGAGCAACGCTCTCTTGACAAAACATCAAAAAGCAACACAGCACAACAGAACAAAGCTCAAAAAGAGAAACGAAGAAGAAAAAGAGGAAAAAAGTGGCAATACCTCAAGATATCTCGAAAATGCAAGGTAGTAGGCGGCCCAGCCAGCCCCAGCCAGAAAGCACCGCCTCTCCCCCTGTCAAATCCAGTCCAATCCACTCTGTCTCGTGGTCCCCAAAATGCGACCCCAAAAACGACCTGCATCCAGAAACAGACAGATAGGCCTGTATCACTCACTCCATTTTACACGTGTTTGTATCCTCTCACCCATATTGACCGACCCATCACAGCCCCCCAAACCCAACATATGCTCCTCATCTCGCCCTCTCAAAGGGCCATCGGGAATAATACAAGTCGTAATCTGCCTACTCCGTACTGTCTGCATACACTGCCGACTGCTAACAATGTAGAGACCCGTGAGAGAACGGGGATGCTGCATCCCGTGTGTGTTCTCCCTGGATTGGTTCCTGTTTCCCCTCACTTGACTTTCTCTTGCTTACCTAGGTAGGTATGGAGAACTGCAGCAGTAGACCTTGGTCTTCTGCGTGAAAACCCCTGCTTTGCAATACCTTGCTCCGCCCTTTGTGCACCGAGACTAGGTAATCAGAGTGAGGCTCTGTTGGTACGACTTACAAGCAGTTCCACCTCGTAGGATCACCGATGCCGAGCTACATCAACTCCATCCCATTGGCTACACGATATGAGCTTCGCCTTTAGATCAGCCTCACCACCTCAGCTGGGTGGCCAAGTCGACAAACCCCCTTGCCCTTTGGTCCAAGACAACATCGAGGCTGTGCTCGCTTTCCTGCTTCGCAGCACCACTTCGGTCTCTGTACTCTGCCAAGCCTCACACATCGGACGGACTCGAGAGCCAACAAGATGACAGTAACAAAAGGGAAAAGCCCGTTTCTTCGTATATTTTATCGTCGCTGCACACACAATCACAAGTCTTTACAACGTATTTAACCCGTCCTGATGCCTCCCCCTTTCCCCTTCCATTGCCAGTCTTGCCCTCCCCAACGCCGGAAACTGCAAAAGCATAGGTCGCGGAACAAGGATGCGCTGGCCCTTGCGAGTCGTGTAACGGTCTCGTCAGTCTACTGCCGCGCGTTCCTGTATCCGTCTTCTGTGCATTGGTTCAAATTCCTGTATGCCACCCTGTAATTCGAGTCTGTTCGGTTTTCCATCTTTGTCCATCTATTGCGGCGGGAACTGCTGCTCGTCCATGTTCGGGACACCACCCTCTATGTTGTGGTAGTCGAGAATTTCCGAGTACCTATGTAACAAGTCAGAATGACAGCTCATGACAAGTAGATGAGACGTTGGACGTACATCATAATCTTCCAGGTGTCAACGGGAAGGTCGGCGTCGTTGAAGCTCCAGTCAAACTTTTCCTCGGCCACGGGCTCGTCGGTAGGGTCGTGGTATGGCGCGAGGTACTCGTGGGACAGGGCCTCGGTAGCCGTGATTCGCTTCTTGGGGTCGAAGACGAGCATTCGCTCCAAAAGATCGACAGCTGCCTTCTTGTCAGTACAATCTCCGGTGCAGGGGTAGTCTTGGTTCTTACCTGAATCGTCTGCGTTCTTGAACTTGTTTCGGAGAGGCTGCCTCTCACGCTTGGGCAGCGACTTGACGAACCGCAACGTCTAAGGGACAGACAATCAGTCACCGCCATCAATCCATCATGGCGCCTGGGACACTCACATTCTCGCTAGCAATAGTGTTGATCACATCGTCCGGTGGCGTGCCCAGCAGCTCGGTGATGATGGAAAACTGGTTCACGTGGTCCTTGCCCGGGAACAGGGGCTTGCCCTCGAGCATCTCGGCAAAGATGCACCCGGCGCTCCAGATGTCGACCTCGACGTCGTACTTTTGCCACGTGAGCATGATCTCGGGGGCACGGTAGTATCGCGTTGACACATAGCCCGTCATCTGCGGGTCCTGGATTCGTGCAAGACCAAAGTCGCAAATCTTCAAATCGCAGTTTTCGTTGACGAGGATGTTGCTGGGCTTGAGATCGCGGTGGACGACGCCGGCCGAGTGGACATATTTCAGGCCTCGCTATAGAGACGCAATCTGTTAGCTGCTGCGCTGGTGGGTTTTCGATGCTGAATGCCAGTTGGTGCAGAGGAATATGTGCCATCGCATACCATAATCTGGTAGAGGAAGTATTGGATGAATTGTTTCTCGAGCGGTCGTGAGGTTAATAATCGGTGCAAGTCGGTGCCAAGAAGCTCTGTGACGAAGTAGCTGGGCAACAATGTTAGAACGGCGAGGAAGAAGAAGCGAAGCAGAGGCAAATTGATACGTACATGTCCTCGAGGGGAGAGATGAAGATGTCGCTCAGAGAGATGACCTATGCAACAACACTCAATGTCAGCACGATGCAAGTAGAGCTTATGTGGGCAGCCAGATCCGGCGGACGTCATCGTCAGCTGAACCCAGCGATGGGAGACACAAAAAAAAAACCGCCCAGAGTCGGAAAAGCGCATACATTCTCGTGTCGGAGGTGCTTGAGCAGCTTCAGCTCGCGGTACGTCCGCTTAGCGAGTACGGGCGTGCTGAAGGGCTTCATGATCTTCTTGACGGCGACATTTTGGTTGGTGAGCTGGTCTCGCGCGGAGCTGTTTGGCGGGGTAGGGGAAACGTCGCGAGTTAGCCATGGATGCAATGCCGCCAGCCGCCAGAAAAAGCCCATCTCAAGAATGGGAGGCGAGGAGGGGAGGGGCGAAAACTCACCAGACGAGGCCAAACGCTCCCATGCCCACAGGCTGGAGGTCCGAGTACCTGGACGAATTGAAATCAGCCTCAAACTGCGTTCTCCTCAATGCCCGACTGCGTATCCGATCGGGGCGCGGATTCCCAGGCTCGTCGCCTTACCTTGAGGTGATCTCGAAGGTGGTGCCAAAGATCTGCGCACGCACAAACTCGGCCATTGTGACGGATCGATTTGGCTCGTGATCGCGGGGAAAATGCGGCTTCAGAGGGAGGATGAAAGTGGTTGATTAGGAGGCGTGGACTCGACGCAGCGTGATGGCGGGACGAGGGACGAAGATGCGGAGATGGAAAGCGGAGAGTTTGCGAGGGAGCTGAGCCGGAGTGAAATGCCTCGTAAAATGGATGATGTTGCTGCTGATGCTTTTTTATCGGCTCGGTTGCAAGAACAAGAACCAGGCAGGCGGTGGTAACTTGCAAGGCGCAGGATTATAGCAGTTCCACTCGCTTGCTAGCAAGGCGGGGGCTCCTTAAACAGCGGGCTGGGCCTGTTTGTGGTGCCTGTCGCTGCGACTGGTTGCAGCTGCAATCTCGATCTCGGCGCTTCCAGGTTTCGTGATGGGACGCAGGACAAATACGTATGCGATGCCAGCGAAGAGGGTCGATAATAAGATGCTCGTTTTCCTCTCGTTTAGATGCTCCGATGACTGAATTCGCCCGTATGTCTGTTGTTTGTTTTTTTCGTGGTCGTGGTTCTGGTCGAGTCCGTCTGCGATCGGGCAAAGCCGTCGATTCTCCCTTGTCTCTGCACAGCGGATCTCGGAGCCCAGCAAGCAAAAGGCGGGGCCCAACGCTTGAACTGAGGCCTGTCTGTGATGTAAAGCCACCGACCAAAAAAAGTCAGGACAGTGAGAGGCGAGAGGGACCTTGTGCAGGCGAACAGATGGCGCGTCTGACAACAATCCGGATGGCCAAATAGTACGGATATTCGACAAGTGACGGAAAACAAGAGCCTGCCAAAAGAGAAAACACACAAACAGCGAAATCGTTAGTGGGCGCTCTTCGTCTTGCAGCTTCGGCAGTTGTGCTCGTTCAAGGAAGAAACTTGGAAGAAGTGCAGCTGCGCGGGGTAAACAGGAAACCAGGAGCGAAGCAGGGGGGGATTGGACTTGGGTTTTTGGACCGGGATCTGATGCCTGAGCCCAACAAGGTGCTTTGCTTGCCTGCTTCTCTCCCTTCTTCTTTATACGCCCTTTTTTTCTCCGAGGTGTTCTGTGTGTGCTCGCTCGCCCAACTTACGTGTGCTCGTAATATGTAATCTGGAACAGAACCGCCCCCAAACCGGCTTTCAGCGAAGTGCAGAAGCCACTGAATGTCACTCCGTTTCGATTCGGTCGGAAGAATTCTCGCCTCAGTGGGAAAAAAAACGAAAGATGGATGGGAAAGCAGCAATGCCGTCAGAGCAGTAAAAGCGATTCGTGTATGTAAAAAGAAGAAGAAGAGGAAAACCAGGAAGTATTCCAAAGGACAAGAGCGGTCTCCAGTATTTCAATGGATAGACGGTGCTCCGGCGGGAAAAAGCTCGTTCCCCTACTTATGTATATGCGGCCGTCTCAGGCGATCGATCGGGATTTTGGCCGCGGATCCAGGAAATTTCAAGGTTTTCTTTCGTTCAATGCCAATCAATGCCCGTTGTC